ATATAAAGCTTAGAACACCTAGCTTTTATCAGGAATTACACATTTAATTCACATCTCTTTTGCATTTACATAAATGATTATGAAATTATTAATTATAAAATTTAGTTTTGTGTGATAAATTCGAAAGCAGGGTACTACACATTACCCAACATCGCAATCTGAACAGTGGAATCTTCCTTTTCTTCTTATTTGTCCCTCTTTGAGAAGCCTTCCCGTTGGTGTGATGCGGCAGTTAGAAGAAGTAGGTGTTCGCTCAGGTGTCGTTCCCGTCACCTGACCATGGTTAAAGATTACGAGGTCCGTCACCAAAGCCCTCGGATAACTGAAAAGTGTGACGTATATATTCACTCATTCATTGAGCAAAAAATAATACACTGTCGTGTTGGATTGATTTTCTTTTCTGTTGGGGGAATGTAATCAGCAAAGTGTCGTTCAGACACGCATGAAAGGGGGGGAGGGGAGAGATGCTCAGCATAATTACGTTCCCTTTTTTGCAGAAAATTCGACCAGGTGGTAGTTTTCAATTCTCCGAAACCATAGAAAGCGCATGTGAAATAATTCGGGAAAGATCCATTGCACAGTGTAAATTGTCACAGTGACCGAGCTGCACTCTGGATGAGCCAGGATTGTACATTTCACCTGTCCGAGCTCAGCTTGGAAAAAGCCCAGAAGGTTTTATAGAAAAATAATATTCAAATTGAAATTATAACAGTTTTTTTTTTGAAGATTTAACACATTTTATTTTAAACATAACTGTATCACTAAATTAATTAATATTTTTTTTTCCTTTCGATAAATGAAGAAATGTTCTCGAAGTTACTTCCAGATCAAATTACAAGAAAATATAAAATGCAGAAATCCTTCAAATACTTTTCAAATTGATTTAACAATCAATGAATGCAACAGCCATTTCAAGTCAGAGTCTATCTTTAGTGTTCTTATTGGGTTCTATCATTAAATAAACATAATTAAAGGAAATTATAATTTTAAATGAGAGAGAATACTTTTCTCTGTAAGAATTGACGTTTAATCCGGTCTTCGTGTTCTTTCAATCTAGATTATAACCCCACATTCTTTTCTACTTATTTATTTATTGATCTTTAATTATAAAATATATATTTCATAACTATTTTTATAATTTTAACTGAAATTTTTTACTTTTATTAGGGAAAGCTACTATTACATAAATATATACATGCCATAAATATCTTACCTAATTGTTTTATTTTAAAGAATTTTGAAGCTAATTATGTTTTCAAAAGAGTATTAATAACTTTTGTGCAAATTGTGCCCTTATACAAATCAAATAACGATTGTAACGTTTTTTACTCCCACTCAGCATACTATATAACGCGGCTGCTTTGTGCAGAAAAAATTACTTCTTTCACGTAAATAATGACCTCATAAAGAATCGCAAAAACTGTTCTCGACATTACAAAAATCCTAAATAGTTATATATCTTCGGAAAAATATTTTTATCTGATGTTACTCTGACAGCCCAATTTCCCTGAACATCAAACATCTTCTCTGAATATAGAAGCTGAATCTCAAGTAAAATTTTTATAGAAGTTAAACATAAACGCGTCGCCAAATGAGGGATTAGTTCATGAAGACACTCGTCTGATCAGTCTTCTTATGTCCAACTATCTGTAGAGGGCTATAAAATTTTTAATAATAGTTTTTATAAATATGTTAAATTTTTAAATAAAGGCAATAGACGCAACAAAAAATAACTTACATTTTCAGTCACACACTCTAATAATTATTTTTCTCAATACAATACCTATACTAGTATGTATCCTGTATTGCAGATTTTTCCACATGTTGTTGTTGTTTCTAATGCCCCTGTCTGACGTAGTCGGTTCGAGGCGCACGAAATTCATCGTGGTAAAGGGCTAGAAGTACGCCTGTCGTTGGCCTTGAGCACCATACAGGTGACAGCACGATTTAGCTCGGCGAAATTCCCCGAATAGACAATAGATGGCGGCACCACCTATCTCTACAATTTCTTCATGGAACTGAAAGGGAGGGGAATACTATACAGTCCCCTGCATTCGTGACTCAGCCCACAAGACTTTTCGGACCCACTGATTTAACGAGCCCGAACTCCGTGTGTACTTGGAGGGTATTTGGTGGCATCGTGCATCGAACCCAGGCCTTCCAGTCTGGAGTTCGCTGCTCTAACCACTAGACAACCCACGCCCCACCACATGTTATTTTTGCAGTGTTGAGTATGACTTTTCTCTGAGATATTAGGTGTACCTGAAAGTTCTGTCTGTTACGGTTACAAGTTTCAACAAGATAACGCGAATTCATATAACGCATATATTATTATCACTTTTTATTACTAAAAGGATGCATATTCACCTAGCAAATGAACTAAAATGAAACTAATTCAAGTTCGTATTAAGTAAGAAGCTATTATGTACTCATGCCCAATGATAAATTTCATTTACGCCCTTGTACTTTGAAACAAGGAAAAAGTGGTACAGAAGCACGTAGGAATTTACTAAAAATGTTTAGTGAAGGTACAGTTTCTGATAGAATATAGGGCTGCGGTAGCCCAGTGGTTAAGGTATCCAACCATGGCAGGCATGTCATGAGTTCCATCCCAGTACCACTAAAGACCCGCCGTGTAGGGCAGCGATGCACGTTAAATCTGTCGAGAGCTGAATCGTCCTCCCGTTGGTGTGGTGTGGTAGTTAGGAGAGGGAGGTGCCAGCTCAGGTGTCGTCCACGTCACTTGACCATGGTTCAAAATTACGTGGTCCATCGCCAAAAGCCCTCGTGTAGCTGAACAGTGCGACGTTAATATTAACTCACTCACTCACTCATTCTGATGGAATATGTAGAACATGGATCGAAAATTTAAAGTAGATGAATTCGACTTTTCAAAGCCGCTTCCTTCTAAAGCAAATTCCTTTCTTGGCAACATCGGAGACTGCAGAAAAGCTCAATTTAGCTCAATAAACCATTTAGGATCCGATTCGGAAACTTGGATTGGTGCGGAAATATTCGAAATGGGTGCCACGTGATAATAATTTGAATGATGATATCATCTTATGAACATCTCTTCCTGTACGGAACAAAATCAATTCCTTCTTGAACCGGATGATAGCTAGGGGTGAAAATTGGATTATCTACTAGAGTAAAAAAGTTCCCGGAATGGTCACTTACATTCAGGAGAACTATTGAAGGGAGTATAGGGGAGTATTTGTTTTGGAGGTTGGCATAACTAATAAGAAAAACATCTGTAATTCATTTCTGGTACTTTTAGCGTTAGCTGCAGATCATTTCTGACAAAGAAAATTCTCATTCGTCGGTTTTTGAAACGTTGTCTTTGGAGCACCGTGCAAAGATCAAATCCTGTGTTTTACTCCAGAAATCACTTTCTGAGATACTCGAAATGCTGAAGTAAGTAAACGATGCTCATGAAAAAAAAACTAACGGCTGTGTACGAGTTGCGTAAGCTTTTTCGTGAAGGTCATACAAACATCGAATATGATCTACGGACTGTGGTCTTCTTATACCACAGATGAAAATGATGAACACGTTCGATAAATTGTGTGCGCGGACAGACAAATAACCAATGATACTATTGTCTCTGAACTTAGAATTTCACATGGCAGCATTCATAGCATACTTCATGATGATTTGAAAATGTACAACATCGTGTTTGCTTGCCCACTATTCCAAAAAATGTTATTACCTGAACGAAAGGAAATGAGAGTGAATACGTCTAGGGATTTGATTGACATGGTTAATGAAGATGACAACTTCTTGAAGAAAATCTTGACAGGTATTGAAACAGGGTGCTTTCTTAACAACCCTCAGACAAAACGTCAGTCAAGCGAATGGAAAGGAGGAACTTTGCTTGGACAAAGGCCAAGAAAAAATGGGACGAGGCAAGAATCTCTAAAAAAAATGGACTCCAGGAGTACTTTGAACAATTATACGAACTCTTGAGCAATTGCGTGGATGCAGGAGGACAGTGCTTTGAAATATAGTAAAATTAAATAAATGTTCTATTTTTTTGGATAATTTCCGATTGACCAATTCCGGGCACTTTTTGACCCTACCATGTATACAAGTACAGTATAGAAAAGGACATATCGTGAAACCGGAAAACTAGCGATTTTTCCTCTAAACTGAAGTCGAATCTGAGTAAGAGAATGTTGTGTATATGGAGGGACATTTCGAGGATTGATACATTTTGAATTGTTAAAACTAAATTAAATTTGGGGAGGTAATGTCAACAATTGAATAATTTAAAAACAGAACTCCAAGAAAAGAGGTATGAGATGTTAAATAGGAAGGACATTATACTACTTTGTGACAATGTCCGGTCACATGCTGCCTTGGGAACGCGTCAGAAACACTTGCAAATCATACTCCCCAGACTTTGCACCCTCCGATTACCACTTTCTTTATTCAATCAAAATGTTTTGTTTATGAAAATAATTTAAAAATGAAGAAGATATCAGACAAAATTGGTTCAATTTTTCGCCTCTTGCGATTAGGGGCTTTTTAAAAATGAAGTAAGTGAACTGGTCTACTGCTGATAAGAAATCATAAATAGTAATGGAAATTGTATTATTCAATACAATTTACTCAAAGTATGGTAGACCTAATGCTAATTAAAATAATATACTATTCATGTATAACACACATTACATCTTAAAAAATTATTGATAAAACTAAAAATGCATCAAAATAGATTGTAACATCATCAAATGAGTACATAACAATACTACACACAACACATTGGATTCAAGTAGATATTTTGGAATATTGATGTTGTTGTGGTGTGTTTTTATCCTGGGACACATATAAAATAAAAGTGGATGAACAGAAACATACAATACATATAGAATAATACAGACATTTGTTACGAACGATGATCCCAACATATAACAGAAGGAGTGCACTGCTTTCCATTCGCGAGGCGGAATCCATTACAGGTGAAAGTCCGATTTCTTTTCCTGAAGAAAATACATCCATGCCTTATTCGGGATTTGAACCCGAGCTCACTCGGTTAGAAGCCGAGCGCCATGTCCACCATACTGGCTAGAATATTGAAAGCAATCAAATATGAAAAGGAATATCAAATAGCAATCCAATTGAAGATAGAATATTGATACCAATTAAATTGAAGAGGAATAAACATAGGTAAAATTTCAGATGATTCTCAATTTTACAGTGAAAGGATTTTTCGAATTATAGAACTTTTTAAATGAACTTTGTGGGTGAAGACAGTTATATTGATATTTTTTGAAATTCCTTGAAGAAAATAATCGATAGTACTCCCTCATAATTGATTTTTGCTACAATATTGGATTTGTCACAAAAATGTGACAATAAATCTATGGCTCTAAAGTGTGCTGAATTGTAAACATTTAATGGCATTTATGAGATTCGAAATATATTTTGCATAAAAAATTTATAATTCTGACCTTCCTATCGATAAACTTTTATTGCTCTTGAATATTTATTCAAAAAATATATGTGAACAACCAACAAGAAAAGTTTTGCATTAAAAACATTTTCGAAATATTTAAAAAACTTCAATTTTATATATTATTTGTTTAATATTATTAAAATTATATATTAGTTGCATTATTTTGATCTGTCTAAATTAGTTTGTTTTAAATGTATGCCTTACAATGGTCCTATTTTAGTTTTTTTAGCAAGATAAAATATACCAGAATTAATATAATTTCAATTTGCAATTTTCGAAATTTGTAAATGAATATATTTTCTGGAAAAAAAAGCAAGAATTTACTAAAAAATACAAAACATCTCTAGAATTTCATAAAATAAACATATAATGATCATGTAAAAGTAAGAAGGGAAATAGACTGAGAATAACGCATGAAATATTAAAAATCATATTTGATATAAATTTCTTTGTATTTTAGCTTTAAAGACACTTTTACTCAAATTAGAAAACATAGTAAAATATGATTTAATAATGAATTTTTTTTTAAAAAAATGTATTTTTAAGTTTGAATATAAAACGAACACATTTGAAATATATAAGTTACAATATTGTGCCCTGTAGAAAAAAATATTGTACCTCATAGGATCCGGATCTAGTTTGGCATTATATTCATAAAAAAAAAGAGAAATTGTTTCTAAGAGAAATCTGTTTTAATTAAAAATTTTGCCTAAAAAATTTGGTTCAATGAATTATGTTGTATATTTTTTAAAAATATTTTTCATTATTTATCTTGGAAAAGCTAAGGCCCAAATTTACTTCTTTTTTTAAAAAAAACAAATTTTTTTTAAAAAAGTGTGAGTAGCAACACATTACTGAAATTAAGACATTGTGAGACATTGAGACCTTTATCTAAGTTTTAAAGTTAAAGTTTTAAATTTTGTCTATTTATTCTTTTCTTGCAGCGAGTTAACTTTCATTTTCCAAAATTGTTTAATCAAATGGGAACTGAATGCTTTAATAACTGAATATTTTATATTTAACTGAATATAAAGGGAACTGAATGCTTTAATTTGATGTGTAATAGCTTTCTTGGGAGCAAACAGGAGAAAAAAATCTATCTTGTGTATCTGTAGAAACGTTAAACTAAAATTAGCAAATAGTTCGGAAAGCACTTAAGTTTTATTCAAAGCAAATGAAGTAGTAGTATTTTAAATCCACAAATTTCATTCTAAATGGGGTTGTTGCTGTATAGTTTAACCGTTAAAATTTTAAGGATTATTTGTATTAAGAACTTTTTGTTGCTAGTAACTTTTTCATGTTCTATCAAAAATGGAGAAACGAAAACAGTATTTTACCAGAAAGTTAAAATATAGTTAAAGTGAAAAAAATTGGTGATGTGTATTAAGAAAACATGTTAGCACAGTGTTGTTGCTTTTTTTTAAAACTGATTGGTAAACTTTATTCCGAAAACTTTGAAAATGAAAATGAGCCACATTTTGAAAGTAAAATCGAAAATTGTACTGAATTTTGTAAACGAAATTTTGTAACGAATGTAGTCCTGATTTAGGACTACATTTTACGTAGTCCAAAATCAGGTGTGGATAGACTTTTCTTGGGTACGCGCTCCTTCTGGACACCTAATCTGGCTCTTCCCTCTCCCAAATTTTACACCACACCAACAGAGGTCTTTGAGCTTCAACAGGTTTAATGTGCGCCTGCCTTCTCTTTGGTCATAAATGATTGAACCCCATCGATTTCAATTTTTAAGTATGTTGTTATTGCGGGACTTATTTCAGTAAATATCTATATTCTTCTCATCAACCTCAACTGCTCTTTCAATATCGAATTTTCCAGAATGAAATTTTAAAAATTAGTTTGAGCACTGGCGCTCTCTGAACACATTTTCCACATGCATGCCTCAACTTTTGTTCTTGATTTAAATTTATTTTTGTAGAAAGAGCTAAATATGCTGAAAGTGCGGTTTTTGCTTTTTTACTCTGATATGAGTTTGTTAAAACCAATAATACACTTCAAAGCAAATGTAAACCGTGAAATGTCCCTTGTCAAAACGAAAAAATAACAGTAAGTTTAACATGAACTTGATAAGTCAAGAATCAAACCAATTTCTTCTATGAGGACAAATTTCAAACAGCTCCGCATATATTTGTTTCAATCTGCATAACAAAAATTAATATTTAGTAATATTTTTTTTATTTATATAATTGATCATATATATTTGTCCTTACAATTAATTTAACTAGACGATAAAAAAACAGCAAATTTACTTTTAAATAAGCTCCTACTCTAATTTTCATTTTTAGTTATTTAAAAGTTTAATAATTGCATTACAGAAGTACTTCTCTCTCATTAATTCTATTATAAAATCTTTTTTTCTTTCCTATAGCGAAAATATTTCCAGATATTTTCACAGCTGTCATAGGTTAAGCATGGATAATATCAAATTTAGACGTATAGTAATTTTTTTATAATAGAGCTTCTGAGCAATTACGAGCACCCCCCAATTTTTGTTAAATTGTTTATTACACAGATGAAGAAAAAAATTACTTTTGGGAATCGTTGGGTTTTCTTTTTTTTAATATTGAGAACATTTATAACCCTAAGCACCCCGAAGTATCACACGGGGGCTTATATAGAAGTAAGCGCGAAGCGTACATCACAGAGAAGAGAATGACTATAACATAAATATCCATGTCTTACCCGTGATTCGAACCCAGCCCTTACGGCACCGCAGTCAGCGTCACTAACCTCTACACAGGATGGGGGGCATCGTTGGTTTTGATATCTGATTTTTATATTATTTTCAGGGCTGATTGCAAAACTGAAATGAGTTTCTCCTATTACTTATGACTTTTCTCTTAACATTTCCTATTCTTATAGAAATGAATAAAAAAATGATATTTTCTATTCTATTTTATCATGTAACTTTTCCTAGTTTATAAATTATTTGTCTTGGTGTAAATGAAAAAATGATTTTATGAAAGGGACTACACATTTTATACTAGCAGTTACCCTTTTTCACAAAGCTCCTTTATTCTCTCTCTCTTTCTTTTGAGAACTTGCCGTAGGTTACCTCTTTTCAAAGTCCTGTTGAAACGGCTATCATGCTTTTAATCCACTTTCCTTGACATCGCCTTTCCATTTCTTTAATGTCTCGGAGAAATCTTTCCCCTTGTCCCTTGCCGATCGCATCTGAGGGTTTAGAGAAATAATCTGGGAGCAAATGGGAAAAATGAGGTCTTAAGCTCAAATAACACCATAGCAACTTGAAATATTTTGACATCTCTTCTCCAATTAGTCCTTTTTGGATCCAAGAAAGCTGGTTGTAATTAGTTTAATATATTTCCAGGTCTTTTTCTCCTTTGTTTCTTTTCTGAGCTTAAAAGATTAACTTTCATCCTTTTTGTGTGATGTGAGGTTGCATAATTACCCCTTCCTTCAGCCATGCTTCGTACAGGCTTCCTAGAACTTTTAGTAAAGTAACTTGAAACCTCATTTTTTGTTACTGCCTTAACACAGGGGTGGGCAACTTGTTTTGGCTCGCAAGCCACATTGTAGCAGAAGAGGATATCAGAAGGCGCAAGCTTTAAAAACGATTGCATACATTATAAAAATAAGTATAAGTTAAATCTAATAAGGGCAACTTTATTCAATTTAGTTACTCTTCATTTCTGCAAGCACATTTAGTTTTAGAATCAGTTTAATGAGACAAAAATGCATGCTTTCCTACATTTCTACATTTTTTTTAGCAATTCTCGATTAAATGCTTTAATTTTCATCATTCATTCAACTTTTAAGCCAAAACAAAATACTTTATTTACATGTTTCGCCATTTAAATGGGCGTGGCCCAGTTTCAATGATTGTTTAAAAATAAGTTTTAAGGGATTTCAGTTACGATAAAAGTTGAAGTAAGGTATTTTTAGAAAGTTTAAAATCTATACACTTTGAAAATGTAAAAATCTCAAAATTGTCATATTAAGAAGATTTTATGTTTCCAACACTTCGGAAGTTCAGAGTTATGAAGTTCGTTAAACAAAAAGGAAATGATGTAGTTTTAAGATCTGCCTCACATTATCTTCATCGAAATCAGGAATTTTTATAAAAATAAACCTTAAGTTGTGGGTTATATTTCTAAATATAATATAAAATTGTTTCTTTATAAAAAGTATTTTCTATATTTCAATTACGCTTGCGCTTTTTATATTTCATTTTATATATATTGGAAAACTCCTCTTATATAAATTTTAAGAAATGTAATTGCAACTCTTTCTTCCATAATTTTCATTTCTTAAAAAAAAACAGTCCTTACAAAACTGTAAATCAGCTCCGGTGGCTTCGAGGTAGCCCGTCAACTTCGTAAGTCAAAGGTTGCGGGTTCGACGACAGTTTGAGTCGATAGATTTTCTGGATGTGAAAGTCGTAAGAGCACGTATATGTCATATGATTATGTAGCACGTAAAAAATCCCTTGAGCATTAATTTGGTTCTGTTACTCACGGCAAAATTAAATCATGGCAATATTTAACATCCGATGAGAGCTTGAATTAAAAATTAATGCAAGTTTTTAAATTTGGTTGTGAGGTCACCAATATATATATGTATGGCGTTAA